GATGTAAAGGGGAAATACGCCATTTAGACTGTGTTCAAATAGATATGACTTAAATGGATAACGTGACTGAACCAAATGTCAGAAAATATTTACTTAGAAAAATAAAATTAAAAATAACAACGTCAAGCTGAAACAAATGAAACCGCGAATATATTAAGTGTTAGAACGTCTGTAGACATAGATAAAGAGAGAGAAAGATAGATAGGGAGAGAGAGAGAGAGAGAGAAAGAGAGAGAGAGAGAGAAAGAGAGAGAGAGAGAGAGGGAGAGAGTGAAAAAGAGAGAGCGAAGCACTCATCGCATAAGGAATATGACGTTGTGTTGCCGCCTCCGCATATATTTTTACGATACGTGTTTTAAAATGAAGTTTACCTGGTTGACGAAGAGAATAAAATCTACAACTGTCGTATGTTTCTATTCATCGAGTTATCCTTTTTTCAGTCGAGTAGAAAAAATTATAATCATATTACGTAACATGTTCGTCCAACGTGCCTACCTGTCTCTGCAGAAATTATCCTCTAAAAGATTTTCAATCAACACGAAGCGTCTCCTGTCAAACTTTTCACAGGAAAATCCGTAGTACCTCCAGATTTTCGATATGATATCGAGCATCAAATAGCACAGCACATTTTTTCAATCTTGTGACGTCATAACACAACATGTGTTCAATGTTTCTTTATGAGCTGTTAACACAACCTTTAGCGGTTAATCTCTCCTCTCTGACCTGCAATTAATAAATACTAAACACAACGAATACCAACGAATTTTTAGTATAAATGATAAAGAAATTTGAACATAGAATAGGCTGTACTAGAGTTCGTTTTGGCCAAATTCCTTGAAAATGCTACGAAGTCAGAATAAATTTAGTCAGCTCGAGACTTTCTTATGGCTATAATCCATGGCGCACAATCCATTCAAAAAATGTCTAAAATGGCAGCCGCCTTTTCAAAGCAATAATTAAAAATGTCTTAATGAAGATTATTCTTTTCTGACTCTTCAGAACCACAAACAAAGAACTGTACCGAATAACAGAAACAACATCAATTGAGGAATATCAAGAGCAGCAACAACTAAAATGCATAGCACATATCACGCGTTCAGTGGAGGAGGGGCGTATTCAACAAAAAATTGAAAATTGCTTTTTTCACTGCAAATTATTCATTATATCATATCCAAATATATTACAAAAAATTAGAGCCGATTACACAATATTTGAAGCACAATTTAGGTCTATAGTTCGTAACCATGGAATGAGTTGAGGTAACATAAACTGTAGATTTGTCTGCGGAATATCATTACATTATTGTTATATATAATTATAATGAAATCATTAAGGTTTTTTGTCTAAAGCATCTTATTTTTGGTCGTACATTAATCTAAAATATTCTTTTTTGCAGGCTTTATTTTTGAAATGGAATAAGATCATTCTAAAATTCAATTTCTTTATTGCCCATCAAAATGACTGGAAGAAAGCGATCTAAAACAACAATGGAAAAGAGAGGTAACAAAGCGTAAATGAAATAGTTCCAGTTTGTTCAACTTAGGAAACTTAGCATTGCAGCTAAAATATTCTAAAATGCTGCCAATAACAAAGGAGAAAATGAAAAAAAAACCCTAACAAATCGAATATAGCATCAAATTTATATTATTTTTATTATTTTGTTATGTAACTAAATACATAATTGTCAACAGTTTTTCCGTAAAACTTGATATTTCCTGTAATAAATTCTTAATAAATATTATTATTGTTATTTTACTTAAGTGTAAGGTAGTCCTACATTTACAATTCCTTACGACTAACCATGAAAAGAAATGTTTATAAACCCTTTATTTAATCAAGGGCGTCGAGTCTTCTCTTTCTGAAAAAAAAAACATAATAAAAAGAACAAAAAAAAAAAAGATATATCTGTAGACACAGACAGTGGAATGTTAACATTCTAACCTCGTAGATTAAATTGAGGTTTCAGTACGAAATTTCACTGAAAGTTATTTGGATTGACGAATCCCTGAAGAATACCGGAGTATAAACAACAATGATAGGGATATTAGTCCGTCAGCAAATTGTTTTATGACTTAACAAAAATAGAATGAGTGGTACAACACGTTTTATGCACTAATATTCCGTTCACTTCGATAACGCTCAGTATCTTTTATTTCTAGTCGACAGCGCATTGACAGTCCGACTGAGTGTAATTTCCGTTCTATTAAATTAATAGCCCATTGAGGAAATACGACAAATAGATAATAATATCAGGCAGTGTCCATTTATTGATGTTCCACGTGAATAGATGATAAGAAGTAGGATGCAAGGTTTTTAAATTGAACTCAGTCAGTTATGTGCCATGCGTGATACACGCTTAGGCGATCATGTATCTTTCGATACATGACAGACGAGGCAGATTTTTCCCGCAGTAGGTTGCCATTTCTTTTTGCGGTAGACCAGTTGCCATCTAAGGCTATAAAACCAGGTCTGTCCTTCTATTTACTCATAGCTGCGAAGAGAAGAAAAGAATTCATACTTTTCCCAGGGGTATTAGCACGTAAGTGAATGTAATGGATTCGACTGGAATTCGAACTCGGCTCTCCGATTCCTGAATCCACCGTTCTATATATTAGCGTGTTTTCTCACTTCATATAGAAGATCATTCTTTTGACTTGTTTCTTCTCAGTCAGTCAGTTATGTGCCATGCGTAAAATACGCTTAGGTGATCATGTATCTTTCGATACCTGACAGACGAGGCAGATTTTTTCACGCAGTTGGTTGCTATTTCTTCCTGCGGTAGACCAGTTGGTATCCCAGGCTATAAAACCAGGTCTGTCCTTCTATTTAAGCTGAGGAGAGAAGAAGCGGATTCATACCTTTCCCAAGGGTATTACCACGTAAGTGAATGTAATGGATTCGACTGGAATTCGAACTCGGCTCTCCGATTCCTTAATCCACCGTGTTACATGACTTGTTTCTTCTCAGTCGCTCAGTTATATGCCAAGCGTGATACACGCTTAGGCGATCATGTATCTTTCGATACATGACTGACGAAGCAGATTTTTTTCCCGCAGAAGGTTTCTTTTTCTTTCTGCAGTAGACCAGTTGCCATCCATAGAACCTGGTCTGTTTACCCATAGCTGTTGGGAGAAGAAGAGTTTAGAAGTATGACAAAGCTGAGATTAGTCCAATATGAAGTATATTTTACACATGAAACATACAAACACGACAAGTCTCACATTAATCGAAAGTTAAAGCATATGTTAAATATAATATTTATAATCAAATATTTGAGAAATTTCAAATTCGTCCAAGTTTAAGCACATTTAAAACAAGATGCATATAAGCATAAGTGTCAACATAGTCCAAATTTAAGCATGAAGCTTATAATTATTACACGACTCAGATTAGTCCAAAGTTAAGCATTTTGTGAACAGGATCCTTATGAGCTTAAGTTTCAGATTAGTCTAAAATTAAGCATATTATAACATGAAACATATGCATGAAAAGTATCAGATAAGCATATTTTGAATATGACCTCCATAAACATAAAACTCAGATTAATCCAATATTGAGTATATTTTAAACATGAAGCGTATTAGCATGACAAATCACAGATGAAAATGAAACATGATATTTATAAGCATGACAAACCTCAAATTAGTGCAAATTTAAGCATATTTTAAACAAGATGCTTATAAGCATATGTCTCAGCTTAATCCAAAATGAAGCATATTATAACATAAAACATTACAAGGCGAGCATTAATTCAAATTTAATCACATTTTAAACATGAAGCTTATAAGAAAGACAAGTCTCATATTAGTAAAAAATTAAGCATGTTTTAAACATGAAGTTTATAAGCACGACAAGTCTAAGAATAGATTCAAAGTTTTGCATATTTAAACATGAATCTCATAAGCAAGACAAGCCTCAGATTAATTAAAATTAATCAGCTTTTAAACATGAAGCTTATAAAATTGTCATGTCTCAGATTAGTCTAAAATTAAGCATATGTTAAAAATGAAGCTTATAATCCTGTCAAATGTCAGATTAGTCCAGATTTAAGCTTATTTTAAACATGAAAATTATAAGCATAAGTCTTAGATTTGTCCAAAATTAAGTGCACGTTTTAAACATGAAGCTTATAAGCATGTAAAACCTCAGATTGGTACAAAATTAATTATATTTTAAACATGAAGCTTATAAGCATGACAAATCTCAATTTAATTCATATTTAATCATATTTTAAAAATGAAGTTTATAACAATGATAAATGTCACATTATTTCAGCATTAAGCATTTTTACTCATGCAGCATATAAGCCTGACAAGCCTTAGATTAGTAAAAAATTAAGTATAAATTATGAAGCTTATAATCATCATAACTCTCAGATTCGTCCAAAATTAAACATATTTGAAACAAGTTCATTATTAGAATGAGAAATCTCCGATTAATTCAAATTTAAGCATATTTTATGCATTCAGCTTATAAGCATGGCAAGTCTCAGATTAGTAAAAAAATTAAGCATATTTTATTCATGAAGCATATAACCATGAAAAATCTCAGAGTAATTAGTAGCGAATGCCTACAATACAAGTGTCAGAGCACATGAGCCAATATTAAGTTTTAAGTAAAATGTAATAACAAGAAACTTTATAATTACAATTAGAAACACAGGACCCACGCGAAAATGGGGCCTAGTGAATTTAACACTCACAAGATAAGAGAAATATAAGAAATCTACTTCACCTGCCTTCGCTATGGCAGAATATAGACAAAGAAAGATGGTAAAGTTTGAGAAATCTTAGAGCCATTCAAGACTATTAAATATTGGCAACATCAATTTACAAGAATTCCAAAAGATCGTCTACTCATACCATTATGATAGCCTCAAATGTAGAAGATGGACTCGATTTTATGAGGACCTTGAAGAAAACTACTACTACTACTACTACTACTACTACTACTACTACTACTACTAATAATAATAATAAAAGATTTCAAATAAGGAACTTGCAACAATATCATGTTGCTATGTCTGTTCCCGTGCGATCATCGAAGTTAAGCAACGCCGAGCAAAGTCAGTACCTAAATGGGTGACCATTTGAGAATACCAGGTATGACTCGGACTTGTTAATCGAAAAACTCAGTCCCAATTCTTGTTTGGTTCGTTATATTCACTTACCAGTAAATACTTTTGGGAAAGATACATTTCCACCTCTTCTCGTCCCAGCTATGGGTTAATTATTAAGACATACATCACAAAATCATCATTATCATAGAAATATTCTTACAATGTAAACTTGCCGTCCTGGGTATGACGATAAACTACGTCCAACAACAATGCCTTTGATCTGGAGGTTTTGAGCATCGTGGAACCACCTCTTAATTGTTGGTGTTTCTAGGTCCACCCTGACCCGAGGTGGTAGTACCTGTTAGGGTCCCAGCCATGGGCAAATAGTTAACCCCCAAACTGGTGTCAAAACACTATGAAAGTGTAAAAATAGATTTTAATACCAGAAATACTTTTTTTAAAAAAAAAATATTGCCAGCAATACATTTTTTAAGAAAAAAAATATTACCAGCAACAAAAATTTTGTTGGCATTAAATAACCCATTGATGTTGATATGCCGTAAAACAAAACAAACCAAACCAAACAATGTAAACTTGTCTTATGACTAAATAACCTGCAAATGTATAAGCCGTAGAAAACCAATAAATAAATTAAAAATAAGATTTTAGAAAACTGTCAAATTTTAGGGGCCTGCAAATTTGCTGTGGGGTGATTTCACAGTGGAGGCTTGTATTTGTACTAAGTCGGTTCCAAAATAGGTTCGACCTACAAAACGTTAGGAACTTGATATAAATAGTATTTACGCAGAGTAATCTAGTTGTGGTCGCTGATACTTTAGTATTCGACTAACTGTCGTCCGACATCGACTCACTGACCTCCTCCCACGTTACTCTTACTACTCCTACTTATTATAGGTAGGAGAGTCTCTTAACTATAGAATAGGTGTGTTCCACTATAACAAAATTAAAATAACAAAAATGTGAAAACTTAAAACTAAAATTATTCGTGTTGCAATAGCGGCGTTAGGTATGAAGGGTACCGAAAATTATGTGAGTAAAATTCATGGACGAATCAGTATCTCGGAGCTATATAAGATTACTTTGTGCGGAACTGCAACGATCATCAATCTAAACGAAACGTCGCAAATGTGCATAGATAATTCTCTTACAGTGCCTTTTTTTTTGACACACATACCCTGAAGGGGACTTGGTAATTAGGCGCTTAAAAATTCTCTCTGGCTAGATGATTCCACGCAAAATAATAAAACAAAATGTGCTTACTGAAATGGCAGTACCTACAGTGTATAATGTATTTTCAAAAATACTATTAAAATTCAACGATCTTTAAACGGAAATCTAAAAAATATAGCCAATGAAAACATCAATTATTCCAGTTGTGCTTGAGACTCGTTGTCCGATTGTAAAAAGAAAGTTCTGTTAGTCTAATTGAAGACTATGCCTTAAAAACACAGAAAATTATTCTCAAAATTACAGCTCAAATCTAACAAAAGACTATGTAAAATGCGTGTGATCTTATTTTGGACCTGAAAAGTAATTAGTATACAACAGAAATCAAAGGAAATAATAATAATAATAATAATAATAATAGTGATGATGCTGATGATGATAATGATGATGTAGAGCATCAGTTTGTCAACTGTGTAAATTAATAAAAGAATAATGGTCAATTTAATCGGCTTAGTTCGATAGTTGTTTTTCAGATGTGCAGGATTTATGTATTCTATGATCTGTAATGACGTTTTCGCAAGACAGATAATTCTGTCCATACGTTTGAAGTCACGAGTAATTAACATTGACAAAAGGAATAAGGTCATAATTTTAGAAATGGCAGTAACAAAATATGGATTTTATTTAAGCCGACGAAAACGTAGGGACGAATAAAGCCGGCTAAATAGATTAAACGTATTTGTACCTTTGAATATGATAAGGATTTATAAAATAAGTATGATTCGAAATTTAAAAAACTTAGTCTGGCTGATGACTTCACCACTGGGAACCCAACAAGAATTCTATTGATTCATAGTTGGAATTATGAGCCAGGCGAGCTTGTTAACCATTCACATTCTACCTACTCGATTACAAAAAATTAGTATAAGAAACCAGGAAATTCTACTTAAATTTTGCTGCACAAGGACTAGTTTCGTGTCATACTGAAAAGAGCGATACAGAAACCATATCACTTGAGAACTTTCAATGATGGCACGAACTGAAGGATATATATATATATATATATATATATATATATATATATATATATATATATATATATATATAGAAAAAAATCAAAACATAATCAAGATGTTCTACACTTTTAGATAAAAGATTAGGAAGGATCCTGCAGCAATACTGGAAAGAGCGATAACAGACAATGGACTTGAGAAATCTATTTTCCTGAAAAATTATTTAAAGAGAAAGATGTTATAATTTTCAGCTGACTGCAACAATGGCTACTCGGTCAGTGCATATCGAATATATGCTTAGATGATTAAGAAAATTACTGTTATTGTTAAGGTTGGCTTAGTCTAAATCATATGCAAAATCTATAAAGGAATCGTTGTGTCTTCTCTGTCATATCTATTTTACATTCCTTTCTGAGCCAACTCGTTATTTTCACTACATACATCATTGACATTCGTCTCTGGTGACATTTTCTGCGAATTCTTCGTAGATCATAAGGACGGAACCGCAGCAATACTGTGGCGTTTTCAGTGGTAAGTTAAATTTTGACGGGGATGAGTTGCTAGACCTATACTCAACTGTCCGATTTTAGAATTGCACCCCGGCTAGACTAGATGCAGCCCAATGCTAATAATGCCAGTTTACCTTGCTATCTTATCCATAACTGGGCGAATATTGGTCCATGTTATTCGAAAGAGCATTAGTGAAAACTAAGCACAAACTTCTATTTATGTGAATCATATCTATCAGTTTCCATGAATATTTTTTCTGCTACACACACACACACACACACACACACACACACACACACACACACACACACACACATATATATATATTAAGAAATGGACAAGGTCCGACAATTTATTTATTAAAGACATTTTTTTATGTTTAAACGTTGTTATTTATAGATACAAGTATTTAAGCAAATGCTCTGTTTATGATAAACAGTATTAAATAACATTTACCGGCCTGAATGTCCGAGAAATTTTCATAGAAAATATTCGTTCTTTGACAGGATTCGAACCTGCATCCTATACGGAACCGTCATTTACGCTGACGTGCCTTACCAAAGAACCTTTTCGGTAGACAAGGTCGAATTTACTGCTTATAAACTTCAATCTTCCACGAATCTCGTACATTCATAACTGCTCTGGCGTATCAAATGTAAACAAATGACGTCATATATTAAGAAATGGACAAGGTCCAACAATTTATTTATTAAAGACATTTTTTATGTTTAACGTTCTATGAAAATTTCTCGGACATTCAGGCCGGTAAATGTTATTTAATACTGTTTATCATAAACAGAGCATTTGCTTAAATACTTGTATCTATAAATAACAACGTTAAACATAAAAATGTCTTTAATAAATATAATATATATATATATATATATATATATATATATATATATATCAGGAGCCACTCAAAGTAGAGGATTATTGAATGCTGTTATCATATGAACGTAAGAAGAGAAGGTAAAAAATGCAGATTGTGTGGATTCTTAGGTAAGATAACGGTTGACTTTATACTTGAAAAGTTTCAGATTGTAGCAATCGCAGAAGCATCCTCTCCGGTGTCTGTTCCATAAAATTGCAGTTCTTGGAAAAAATCTGTCCGAATGGAAATTCCCTCTTACTAATGAGGTATAAAGGGAATTAGGATGATTCTTTCTAGTGTATGTATTATGGTGGCTCTTAGATGTGAAGGTCTGAACGAGTGGAACGAATGACGGTCGTTCGTATACATTTCAGACTGTATTAAATTGGGGATTCACTTTTCTTTACAAATGTTCTTTACGCAAGCATGTCGACATAATAGTATCTGCAATCCTCTATTCAAATGTCCCCACCTTTCAGGTGCATGCTAGCAGATTCAAGTGAAAACTTGACCAATGTTGGTCAATGGACTGAATCTATATACACGAACAATGGTTACCAATGGAGTCAGTTATAAAACTGACAATTTTTTTTATCTATATACTCAAGTATACAAATGATCAATATTTACCTATAGGCTCGAGTATAAACACGTCCAATACTTACCTATTGTATCATGTACAAATCTGATCAATATTTAGCTACAGTCTTAAGTATAAACCCGGCTTACGACCATATAGCGTCGAAAAACCGGTTCCCGTACAATCAGCGAAGTTAAGCAACGTTGAGCCTCGTCAGTACCTTGATGGTTGACTGCTTGGGAATGCCAGGTAATGTAAGCTTGGATATGCAGGTGGTGTAATGGATAATGGCTCTCAATTTTTAATCGGAGAGCCAAGTTCTAATTCCGGTTGGATTCATTATATTCATTTATGCGCAAATATCTTTGGGAAGGGTATGATTCCAGCTCTTCTCGCCAGGACTTGTATCATTAAATCATTATTATCTAAAAAAACTCCTCGTAATCTAAAACAATACTTTCTGGCTTTAAATAACCTAAAAAATGTAGATAAGCCTTTAAAAAAACAATCATTCAATTATATGTTGTTCATGATGACGGTCTTTGAGTATAGAATCCAGAGGTTAGCAGTGAATATTTCGAAGACAGTAGGAAAGCGTTGTTCAGGTTATCAGTGGATATTTTGGTAAAAGTAGCAGAGCGTATTTCTTTATTCTGTTCCTCTTTGCCTGACAAGCTGGCACTGGACATTCGGATAGAGTAAAGAAAATGGCCGCCTTTATACACGACGGATTGAATATTCTACGTCTTCTGATTGGTTAACCTTCTATTGGTGGACTATAAAGTGTGTCAAGTCATTTGGGTTAGCTAACTAGTTACATAATATACACAAAAAACTGCAGCATTATAAACCCGGAAAATAAATAAGTATAAAACAATCTTTACCTGTAGACCTTAAATAAGAATAATAAGTATCTCTACCTATAGACTATAAATTAAAACTATTGGTTAATCAATGTTAGTCCTTTAAGAGATGTATTTGATATCAAATAACACAGCAACATAGCCTAACCTTCATAGAATTGGTGTTCCTTTCATTTTCGGTTTCATTTTTAGAAATTTTCTAATTCAGCTTTTTTTTTTTTTCAGTTGTTCGTTTTCTTGATAACTGACACTCACGTTTATTCTCTCTTTTCCCTGTTGTCTAATAATCCGGTAGCAATTCGATAGCCAAATGAACACAATATTAGGACAGTTGCTCTCTTTTTTTTTCATTATTTCCTCTCCACATAATGCCTATCGATGCTAATACTGGGAAGTTCAATGAGTAAGTTCAAATCTCTAGTTATTCTACAATTCTTTTCTCTTTGGTGCTGTAAAGGTTTCAGCTGAACAATGAAATAAAATTTTGATATTTGGTTATTTAGTGAGATTTTACGAATTCGATCATCTGTTTATATGCTATTTAGGAGATAAAAGTTATTTTCAGATATTAAAAAATTAGTTTCCTTAAAAGTTAATTTGTCATTTTTCAGAAATTCATCATATTCAAACAATTATTGAGTGATATGAAATTATTAAATTGTGATGAACGATCGCTTACTATTGATGAATGAAATTTCTTCATATTTAACTTTTTGTCTTTATCCAAATTTTCTGAGATCTTTTGTACATTCTGCGATCATTATACAAGCAGCATAGACTGGATATAATAACTAAGCTTTCCGACTGGATTTAAGCACCTGCTCTTGATCGTTTGCCTTACCGGGACATCACCTTACTGATCAGGCTACACAAACTAACCAGTAGATGTCATTTAAGTATAAGAGTTAAAATGCGATAGGGACCAGACAAAAGTAAGATGAAATGAAAACCACGCCAGAAAGTGAAATAATGTTTAATCGTAAACTAAAACTTAGTAAGCAAAGAAAGAGCATTTTCTTCTAAGTTAACCGAGTTGAGTCATATCTAATAAAACCGTAACAAAAAAAAATATTCGTTTATTCTTCTACTCCTATGTGCTGTGTCTCTTCAAGGCACGTCTAATCATGGCTCTCCAGATCTTCCTATGATTTGGGGACACTTAGAAGTTTTTCTACTTTTACCAAGTACTCTGATCTTCTGTTCCCCCATTTATTCACACAAGCTCGTCACGTAAGTGGCGAGTTGTCGTCAACTTCTCTTTGAGTGTTAAGCTTTTTCAATTTTAGCAATTTTTTCACATTTTGCTAAAGCCCCTCAAAATCGTCCCGCTATGGATTCGCATAAGCACGTCATGTAGGTGACCCGCTGCCTTCCCCTAATTTTTTTCCCCTCAGTATGCCCTGTGAGGGTCAAGCTTTCCAAGCCATCCTTCCTCGTTATGTTCCCAAGGAATTTTAGCTCTCTTTCTGATTCTGAATATAAGTGTTCTTTCTGGTGTCATTTTCTTTAAGACTTTCTGGTTGCTTAATAGCTTCGTCCATGGAATTCTCAGTATCCTTCTGTATACCCATATTTCTGTTGCCTTCAGTTTTCTCTCCATCCCTGGGGAGACTGTTCATCATTCGCTGCCATATAAGACGATGGATATCACATAGCAATCCAGCACACTTCTCTTTGTAACGAAATCTTTCTGTTTCCCAGCACTTTGCTTAGTTTTTGGAAGGCATATTTCGCTAGTTTAATGTGTGATCGGATTTTTTTCTACCCCCTATTAAAACACATCCCAGATATTTAAACTTTTGAGATGAATGATAACTATTATACTCGGATTCAACGTGAGGGTTAAGTTTTTAAAAAGCCCTTATTAAGTGTCCAATGAGTCTCATCTGTCTTTTCCTGATTTTGATAAGAACTGTTCTTTCTGTTACAATTTTCTTTAAGCCTTCGTTGTTGCTTATTCTCTCCGTCCCAGGAATTCTTAGTATCTGTCTGTAGAATCGCAATTCTATTGCTTCCATTTTTCTCTACATCTGTAGTGAGATTGTCAATTTTCCTGTGTCTTAGTACTTTGTTTAGCTTTTGGAGCGAGTTTTTTTCTCTATTCCAATGAGTGTTCGGATTTTAGTGTTCTATTTTTCTAGTTTCTGTTAAAACACTTACCAGATATTTAAACATCTGTACTTGTTTCGTAGTTCACATGTTGGGATTTTCGTTTACTGATAACCACAATTTTGACCCCCTCCCACCCATCAAACCCAGTGTCATCTGTGTATCTTATATTGTTAAGTTTACACCCACCGATAGCAAAACCTGGTTGGATTTTCAGCTTCCTTACGATAGCCTCGCTATAGAGATTTGATAAATCTGGAGAGAAGACATTCTTATCTTACGCACTTTTCTATTCTTGTCTACACAATTCATTTTCTATCTATATGCAGGCGGATTGCGTCCAGTGTAAGTTCTGGATTATTCTAAAATTCTTTCCCAATAGATTGAGTTTTCCTAATAGTTCAAATAGATTTATTGTGCTGTATCTTGTCAAATGTTTTTTCTTAACTGTACATAATAATAAAAACAACAAAGAAACTAGTATATCTGGATAGATCCAAGCTATTTTTATCGGCTGGTTGTCTTGAATTATGTTCGTGTGAAATGATCAGCCTAAGACTTCATTATCATAATATTCCAAAACGCTCGTTTCTGCAACGGTTAAATTGGCAGCCATGTTTATTTCGAAAATGATTATGCTTTAGTTTTAGCCTCAGGGTCTAGGATAACCATATTTCTTGACGGTTCGATGATGGGCTAAAATTTAAGGAAAAACAAAAGCTTAAAGAAGCATAATTAGAGCTTCGAAGGTCGACTTTATCGCCGCATATTAATTGCATCCATAATAATTGGAAAGATTTGAATCTTGCAAGATTACGCATACAGCTTCTTCTTCATATTGCGACGCTCGATCTGTGTGTTGTACATTTAGAATTAAGATAAAGACGGCGTTGATGGTCAGGAATCAATGCAAATATTATAAGAGAACGGCTATTATATATAAAGCTAAAGATTTATTAAACAAATACGTTAATATTTTCATTCACCTTAGTTATAATGGCAGACTAGTGCTAATTTCTGAGCATACTCATCTGCTAGAGACGCTAGTCAAACCCTATTACAAGCGCCCGTTCAATCCACAGATCACACATGTGCATCAAGCATCAACTATGATGAGCGGGGCTTAGTCACAGTTTCCCGAGGAGAGCGCATAATCTGGCGTGAGCAATTTTTTGAACAAGGCTATCATGCTCAAAACCTCGATCACTATGACATGTGACTTCGCGCGAGCACTACCATCGACAGCTTCCGAACAGTTCCGTGTAGCCATTTTGACGAGTATGCTTAAATAGTACCATCTAGTCACTTATCTGCATAACAAAAGACTGCTTACATGACATGGACTGAATTTCACCGTAGAAACATTTAAAGGTGATCGCCATATTATCCACTAATAATGATATCATTTTTACAAATATTTACACAGTAACGTTACAAGAATTTTTAACATGCCTATTAATTTTGCTACTGTCCATATATTAATTTATATATGACCTCTAAGTGACCTAAACGTGAGAGTATAAACTGAGGTACTGAATTTAGACATCCTTAAAATGCGACAATATAAAGAATGCAAAAAACATATACTGGTGATTAAAATTTAACAGTACTACTATTACTACTCATACTACTACGTTGTGACTAAACAACAGGAAGCAAATATAGTAATAATACAATATACTTTGAGCTCATTGTAAACATGGATCTTCCGTTCCCTAATAGGTTAAAAAATCGTCCATGTAAAACTAGGTCCTATGAAACAGGATACGAGTTCGCGTCCGTCCGGAAGGTCCTTCTTTATTACGATCCTATGCTGCATGATTTAGTGTCCAGAAGGTATATTTCAACGTCGACCATTATGATAAAAAGCAACACGAAAAAAAGAAACCAAATTATAAAATAATAATATCCTTGAATACATTCTTGAATATAACCGATATCCAATTAACAATTATTTAAGTGTTATGCTGTTGATTTGGGGTTAGTAGAGACAAACGCCAAATAACACGTAACAATAAAAAGGGTTTTAATAGGTTGGTAAATAGGTACAGAAATCGCTCGAGTAGTCAATAACTAGCTCAGCTAAGCATTGCTCTGTCTCTTGACATGCCACTTATTTAAAGTCTTTGTTTGCAGACAAGTTCATCTTCAAGAGGGGTGGTAGGTTTCCGACACAACATTAAGCGTGATTGATATCGTGAACAGTTAAATATTTATTTATATCACCCTCAGAAGATGAACCTTAATGTAAATAAATATATGTTTTATTCACTTTGCAGAACTGTCA